CATGATTTCGTTCTGCTTTTTCTTGAAGTTGCAGGCATATTTGTTTTAATAACAATAATGTTTGCTTCTAGGTAGAGTTCTGCGTCTTGATCTCTGTATCAAATGCTGAATAATTGAGGGAATATTTAGATGCGTAATAGTTAAATTAATTGATTTACCTGTCATTATATTTCACTAATATTCTTAGCAGCAAAAAATCCAAAATAGTTCCTTGACTTTTGGTATGTGGCCAATTTGATCCTATAGCATCACATGTCTTCAATTTAGTCCCTCAACTATCCAAAATGTTCCTTCAAGTAAAATTTGACAGAAATGGGATTCAAAATTGATCATTCATATATATATATATAGATGACATGGGATCAATTTTATATGGTGGAAGGACTAAATTGGAGAAATATGATTCTATGATTCTCTGTGACTAATTACATATAAATAGTCGGGGGATTATTTCGGACATTTTCCATATTACTAATATCTTAAAAAAGTAATACTAGTCACATTAATTTAATTGTGTGCTAACTATGGTTGGTTTAATCCAATCAGGGGTGCATGGCTCTTACATAATTGTCTAGGTATAAAATGGTAAAAAACTTCTACCCATTCAACAAGTTTCAATAAAATCACATATGACAATGAATGGAAAGGGAGCGCCTTTCAATGTTGAGTGGGTTTATTGTTAACAAAATATGGCAGCATAACAATGATGACAACAACTGATGTTAGTTCTTGAGGGAGAACTATGTTGATGGTGGCTTGTTATAGGCTATCTATAAACATTCTTTCAATCTTTCTCTTTACCTTGTTGACGTTTTAGCATAAATTTTGAACTCAATAGAATTATAATGGGAGACTAAAACAATGGTAGGAGTGTCAATATATGATACGATTAAAAAATCCAATCTAGACCTGACCCGAAATTCGGAGTTATGGTTGACTCGTATAACAAACTGGTTGAGTTTAGGTTTAATTTTTTGACCTGATTGAAATATCGGTTCAAGTTAACCCGCAAACCTGAATGCAACCCGTTTGACCCGTATGTTGCCCGCTCGCTTGATCACATCTCGCCCGTCGCGCTAGCACTTGTTGTGCTTGCCCTCTTGCCCTTGCCTGAGTTGTCTTAAATATCACATCTATCACCTGCGAATACTCTTGAATAAGGAAGTCACTACACCTTGGGTTGGTAGTTAGAAGTTTTGTAGTGGGGGATTGGAAGTAGATGGTTGGTTAGCTCAGTCAATGCTTTTAGTTTCATTGCTCTGAGTTGACTTGGTAGACCAAATCTACCAACGTCGAAGGGCTTGGAAGCAGCATTATTGATGAAGTTTGATTAGCAATCATTGATTTTCTCCTATCCACTCATTGATGATGACATCTAATTGGTTATGCCTGAATCAAATCAATTAAAGCAGATCAGTATGATATCTGTAGTTTAAATGTGAATTTACTTAACCAATAGTACTCAATGTACTTGTTCAGTTATATAATATACATGCTGAGGTTGGCTTAAAGGCTTATGTATGTTTATTCATTGATTTGAGCTTGAGTCTTCGACACACCTTGGAATGTAAAGCACCGTAGAGCATACGGGTAGCATGCATTTGAGTAATGTAGGGCTATCTTCAATATTTCTGATCACATCAAACATTTGATTGGATGGCATTCCTCATGGGTAAATACTGTGTTTAACATTTATGTTGTAGAGGATACTTTGTTGTATCTATGAGATGCCTTAGGTTAGAAACTATGAGTTGGCTTGAGCTTTGGGTTGAAATATAGTTGTCTTGAAGAAAGGTCTCGAGAACATAGGTTTAATGTTTGATTTTTCAAGTTGCAGTGGTTGTTTGGTTCATAAGAGGAAGTGAATTTCGATTTCTGAAAGACAACTTACATCATTGATAGGAGAAAACCCACAAAAGGATTTTCCAAATGGATTTGTTGATTGTTGAGACTTAAGTGTTTGTCTTGGCCTAAATGTTGAATCGAAGTATTTCTGATTTGCACCTTTGTATTAGTTAACGATGAATTGAAAAATGAAGCTTATGTATTTAGTACAAATGCAAACTAGGGATCTAGGGAGTCGAAACTTACATCTCTTTATTTATTAGAGAAGGGTTTTGAGGCTTGAAATTCATGTTATATACTTGAATTTCTTTTCAAGACTTCTGATTTTTGTTATGAGGTTTGGTTATTAAGACTTTATGGCTTTGTGTCAACTTCAAGGGAATTTATGTATCAATTTATCAAAGGTAGGTTGAGAGTTTACGGATTGCGAATATAGGCGGTTTTGGGCCACTTCGAGGGTTTGTCTTAATTTGGTAGAGACAATTCAAGCAATTTGCAGTTGACCTAGGACTATTGCTTAACTTAGTTTGATTTTGCAAGGTTCTGTGCTAACTTATTTTGGGGTTGTGTTTTTGTTTTGGAAGTGTGATTTAGTGCATGTTTTATTAACTTATCCATGCGATTAGGGCTTACATGCTAGGGTGCTCAATTGTGAAATTTATAAGGCGTCCTAGCAAGGGATTTGGTAATCTCTCTCTATAAATAAGGAGGCGTAGAAAATGTCTTTTTAATTTCCACTTGTTGGCTAATGCCTATTGCTTCTGATTTGATGCTATTGATTTTTGAATTTGTTGATTTGAGGTCTTGGAATTATATCTTAATGAAGAAGGCCAAGTGGATGGAACTTACTATAACTTTGTTAGGCCCAAGGTTTGTGCTTGCAATCTTAGTTTGAGGGAACTAGATTTAATAATTAGAAAGTTAATTAAGGTTTGCAAGGGTTGTGACTTCGGTGTTTGCTAGTGGCTAATTATGTCTAGAACAAATTTTTTTAGTATTAATATTACGTCTCTGATTATGGAAAAATAAAATCTCTAGACCACATATAATTCTTTGAATATGCTAATTTATTTTATATTGTTTTTGCTTTTTATCTGTTGAATGCCATCTCTTTATCATCAATACATTAACTCTATTCACACTTTAAAATATATGAACAATTCTATCTGTCAGTTTCTTTAAATTACTCTTCTTAATGTCAATATTAGTTTGAGAAATGTTTGCTGTATTAATAACCTTATCTTTCATTTATCATTGATGTTTGGTTCTTTTGCTTTCCTAGGTCTTTTATATCCGTGCTTGGTATTTTTTGATGAACTGATATATAGTTTATTGTCTCTAGAACGAGTTTGGCGTGTGGGAGATTTTTTTGCCTAATAATGCAGATGGCTCATCGGCTATTTCCCATGGCTCACGAGTTAAGGTATTCCTTCCATGTGATTAATATGCTTAGATTTTAGTTTAAAGGATGTGCTAAAACCATTTGCTCCTTCAATCATTTAAGTAGATCTCAAGGGAGTTCAGTGTTACAGTTTCCCTTGAAAGAGAACATCTCCTGTTTAGGCAGGGGCGGAACCAATCCTAATTTTGAGGGGGCAAATTCAATATAAAAATAATTATATAAATATTTTATAAAAAGTTGTTTAATTTTTTTTTAAGGTTTATATTTGATCTAAAAAAAAGTTTTTTTTTTAGCTTCTAAATGCAAACAAAATGTCTTTATCAAAATCATCACCATGTTTTCAGCCACAAAAAAAGTGCAAGAACAGGAAAAATACATAATTGATATTCTTAATCAATCTTACAGATTTTTTTTGCACTAATTATCTCACTTTCAAAAAATATTTCTGAATTAAAGTTATTGCATAGAAAAATGAGCCTTCATTACTACCCATTTTCATAGCAATTCAAAAATAGAGAATACATACATTGGGAGCAGATAATGCAAAAAATGCAATAGATGGAAGAGATGAATCAAGCTGTTAGAATCGGATGGCTCAAATGTAAAGAGGACTGTAACAATAGCAGGTAGGGGCAAAAAGGCAATTTAGGGGGGCAAAATTAATTTTTTAGAAGGGGAAAAAGGATTTTTTAGTCTCCTATAAGTTAATTTTTTTTTTGAGGGGGTGGGGGGTGGGGGGAATTGCCCCTCTGGTTACATGGGGTTCCGCACTTATGTTTAAGTAAAATAATTTTGATCAGCAAACATGATTTCAAGTGCATACATTTAGAGATATCAGCACTATGGTACTCCAAGTAGGACATCCATGCCAAATTTTACTATCACTTGTAATGAAATTTAGCATTTATGCGGGCACTGATAGACATGAACTTGCAGCTGAGCTCGAGGTTGCCCTTTAATGTCTTCATGTAGAATCTGATAGGTAATACTTGAGTTCGCAAGTAACCCTAATGGGAAATACTTGAGTTCGCAAGCAAACCTAACAGTAATTGGTAAAAACAGCTAGACAAACTCAAGAATTTCAGTGAAAGCAATCCAAAATAGTGTATTGTATTGTATGAATCAAATCAAAACAAGCACGAAGCAATGATACAATTGACCCTCAATTCGAGAGGAGGATCGTTCTCTCCCAATCTCTAGACTGTGAGTCTAGAGCCCAAGACATCAAAGAGAATTCCAAGAGAAATAATAATCAAGCATGCCTAATTCTCCTAATCTCTTCTTTATTTAAAGCAAATCCCTCTTCTCTAATCTTAGCCGCCCCTCTAAATTGCTCATTACTCCCATGGGCCCCACCTTCCATTGGCGTCAGCCCTATTGGTGGCTAATTTAAAGGAGGCGGACCAACCTTGGTTCGCCTTCTATATGTCTGAACCAGCCCCTTATCCAAGGCCGGTTGGACCGGTCTAACAGGATCCTAGTAATGAAAAAGATGCTTCATTTCTAGAAGACGTAACACTTTGCCCTGCCAATTTTAGGCTTCGTTTGTGACAACTTATGTATTGCTTTTTAAAACAGCTTTCTAGTTTAAAAATTAAAATTTTTATACTAGTAAGCTACTTTAAGAAGCAGCAAGAAAGTCGTCCCAAACGAAGCCTTAATTGACAAGGGCATACTTGTTTTAGTTTTGAGATTATAGTTAATCTAGCAGTTTTTGTCTAATGTGCAAACTCAACTGAAATGATAGATTCGCATGGAGACACCATCAGGGATCAAGGATTCAATTCCAGCATGGATAAAGTTCTCGGTGCAAGCACCAGGCGAAATTCCGTACAATGGGATATATTATGAGCCTCCTGAAGTGGTATATATTCATTTTCTTACACCTCAATTTCGGAGCTAGTTTAATCATTAGAAGTAATTCCTTTTCACTGCTAGATATCAAACTGCTAATGGGCTTATTGATTTTATGTTGTAATCTGACAAATCAAATTCTGCAGGAAAAGTATGTATTCCAACATCCTCAGCCAAAACGTCCCAAATCATTGCGTATTTATGAATCACATGTTGGCATGAGCAGTACGGTATGTGTGCTTTGTTTCCCATTCTAGGGAAGAATTTTCAAGAAATTTTGATTAGCTTTGTTGTGAAACGAACAATAAGCACTGATGTCCATATGCAATTGCTAAACCTAGCAAAATATTTAATTTTGTTGTTTTGATTATCTATGCAACATGTTTATGTTTATTGTGCAACTCAGTTGGTTATTTTACATTCATCTCTTTTTCATGTGATGGTTTTGTTCATTCGGATGGCTAAGGAGCTGTGTATCTAATGTGCATTGACTTGTGTTGGTGTCAAACTATTATTTGATGTTTTGCTTTATTGTGGAATAAGAAAATATTTAATTTTAGCCTAACGGTTATTTTACTTTCATGAGAGCGCTATTGGGGTCATTCAGGGATGCAAAAGACATACAGGAGGTTAGCCTCAGAGATGTACTATAAGAGGATGGATAGAGATGTGGAGGAGATTGGCCAGGTGTGAGGTTTGTCAGAGGAACAAATACCTGTCTATGTCGCCAAGAGGACTACTACAGCCGTTGATTTACCGGGTCGAGTATGTGAGGAGATATCCATGGACTCATAGATGGGCTGCCCTGTTCAAAATGCTTCACGGTGATTCTAGTGGTGGTGTACAGATTGAGCAAGTATGATCATTTCATTACCCTCCGACATCCATACACCGTGGTGACAGTGGCTTCAACTGTTACGACCCGACCCGGTTAGCTCGCAAGTGCAAGGCAGGAATGGAGATCAGACAGTAGGAATTAAAAACTTTCACATTTCATTATACAAAACATCTTCCAATCATCAGAAAGAGCCACTAAAATAAAACCAAGAGGAAAATTTTC